GGGGTGGAGGGAAGATGGAGGGGAAGGAAGAGGGTGGAAGGGTGCGGGATGGGAGGAGGAGGTATAGATCACACGGGTAGGGAAGAGAAAAACATAATAATAGATCAATGACCGATTGCATTTGTATAACGTAAATTTCTTACCAGTTATTATTAACACAGTGCGGTACACAATACTGTTTCAACATGATTAGACATTCATGTAATATCAATGGTTGATAGGATTTGTATATAACGCATATCCCTTCTCGAAATTATGCTCGTAACAGTCTAAAATGTATTAATGCTCGTACTTTTGTAGACTGTAACATTCCATGAAGTTTCGGTATTATGGTAAGCATCTAGCGCAAGTTACCGTTTACAGGCGCTTAAACACTAATAAATTGGCATGGCTTATCCAGGTACATATTTAATTTCCAGATAAACAAGTGAACACACTAGATGTGATATGTCTATGTCTTTCCCAACGACCCAATATCAAGGCCTAAACTGGGAATTGAACCTCCGACCTTCTGGTTCTGAAGGCATAATCGTGGCCATCGGGTTCTTGACACCAATATTAATCATTGACAATAGAAGTTGGAAGAAAACTGTTGGAGAACAATGAAAGAAAAAGAAAGAAAGAGGGGGGAAATGTAATCTGGCGAAATAAAGAAAAAATAAAGAGAACCAATAGGCTCAGTTGAGTCCAAATTTGCGCCAGGAAATAAGAGATTATGAGTCAAATAAAAAGAAGAAGAAAAAGACGTAGAGACAGACACGGCAGGACAGCAGCTGTAAGATAATGTAGGCAAGGACAGATCAGATACGGAGGGTTAGACAAGATTACCACGTAATAATAATAATAATAATAATAGATAGCATTTGTATAGCGCAAATCCCCGCTCAACAGCAGGCTCTATGCGCTTCACACTATATTATTACCCCAGCAGACCATAGAACACTCTGAAACATTCTCAGCTTCCCGGGAAGCATACAGTGCAAACAGCCGATTAAGCGCTCAAACACTAACAAACTGACAAGATCTTTCGCTGTCTATAGCCGGGTACCCATTCCCACAAGGGTGAAGTGAGGAAAATTCGTATAGTGTCTTTCCCAAGGACACAACGTCGGGCCCTTGACGGGATTCGAACCCACAACTTTACGGTTGCGATTCCGAGAGCCTAACCATTAGGCCACCGACGCCACAATAATAACTCCTGATCAGACGGATACGATTCCCCAGGTCGAGGAAAATACACCCGGCTCGGTGACATGCGTTTTAGTACAAAATGTACCAGTTGGGCATAGCTTGGATCAGACAGATGACATCAAAAATGATAGGAAAGATAAAGTTGTCTAGGTGACATCAAGTTAAGCGTAACATTCGATGGCATTTGATCTGACAGAGCATAATATGTAAAGATCAATTTAATTACGCTAATCTATAGAAAGACGAGATAGGCTGTTATGGTTTAGAAACGTTTATTGTGACAATCGATTTCATTTGACATGACAGATTAACTAAATTATTTTAAAATCCATTAAGTATGCTAAAATAAGATTTAAGATATAGCCTAGCTGTTATGGTTTATAAAGGTTTAATATAACATGAGATGGGATTTGATCTGATGGAGAAGATTAACTAAGATGAAAAGATAAGTTAAGCTGTTGTATGGAAATGGTTGGGTCTTTTTAAAAATAAAAATCGATGAGATTTGATCTAACAGATAGGATGAACTAGGAGCAGTCAAGCCAGTCTAAGACGGACTTGTCTGTTAGGGTATACATATCTATCTATCTATCTATCTATCTATCTATCTATCTATCTATCTATCTATCTATCTATCTATCTATCTATCTATCTATCTATCTATCTATCTCTCT